GTTAGTTTAGGGCATCATGTTTTGTTTAGCATCTCTCATGCCTTGCATCCATTGTCTAACTAGACTAACCACTTGGCTTTGAGCCTATTTCTCCAGCCCCCAAGTTTGGCTTTTTGTCAACCCTCATTCCTTATTAGAGTCCTCATTTTGACTGGACTCCCAAGAATTGAAATGCCACTTTTTCTTCTTTCCTGATGGAGATTGAAATTCCTTACGTAGAGCATCACTATTTAAAGAGCCCCAGTTAAGGGAAGATTTTGACTGAGCCACCTGGGCTGTTTTTTGTGCTGTTGAAGGCGGCACTTCATCTGTATGAACTTTATTAGTCCCCTAACCAATCCAACCACTTGGCTTTGAGCCTGTTTTTCTAGCCCCCAAGTTTGGTTTTTTGTCAACCCCCATTCCTTACCAGAGTCCTCATTTTGACTGGACTCCCAAGAATTGAAATGCCACTTTTTCTTCTTTCCTGATGGAGATTGAAATTCCTTACGTAGAGCATCAATATTTGATAGTGTTTTTACAAATGGTGGTCTGGTTCAGAAATGAACTGGGCTATCTATTTGAAGAAGAAAATAAAAGAAAAGAAAACCTGTTTTTATTTTTAGTTTTTATTGATTTGATTTTGGACTGAGGAACTTAATAAAAATATATAGTGATTTTGATATTTTGGAAGATAAATTTTAAAAAAAAATTTTGAGAAAAGAGTTTAGAAATTTTTTTGGTTTGTTTGGTTGTATATTTTGGAAATAGTGTTGGAGTGTGAGAGTTTGGAATGATTTCATATTTTGTTGTAGTTGGGTACATGCGTGTGAGGGAAAAAGTATTTATAGTTGAGTATTTGTATTTAAAAAATTAGTAAATTTTACAAATATGTGCATCGATTTTTTAAAAATAGCAACTTTAATTAATTTTTTACAAACAAATTTTGGAACCCAAGGGAACACAGGACAGACGGTGACAGTGTCCTCACTGCCAAGTGGACATCAACCTTGTGTGTTTTATAAATATCTGTGTGGACAATTTGGTAAATTTACATTCCACCATCATTTTAAACACATTTTCCAATACAACAACTCCAAAAAAATACATCTCATCTTCCCAAACACAAAAACTAAAATAGCCTATTAAGAGCATCTCCAACCACACTCTTTATTTTTCACTAGCTAAAGTATAAAAAAATGACACTCTTTATTTTACCTAATTAGTTTAGCTATTGTGTGTTCCAACCATACTCTTTATTTTAGCTAGTCATTCAAACTAATTTAACCAATTTTCAAAACAAAAAATGCCACATATATATATATATATATATTACTCTTTTTCATAGAATGCCACATATGCACCTACTCTCTAATATGGTTGCCAATGTGACATTTGCAATAATATTTTTAAAAATAATATTTGTTAATATTAGTTTTAAAAATATTATAAAAAATAATTTTAAGTAATATTTAATTTTTTTATTATAAAATTTATAGTATGTGAATACATTTCAACATATGAATTTGGTGGAACCATCTTGAAAGGAATGGAGGGGAAGAATAAAAGAAAACAATAAAAAAAATTTAAAAAAAATAACAATACAAAGGAAGTTCTTCAATAATTATAGTTTATAAAATTAAGAACCGAAAGAACACAAATTAATTAATTAAAAACCTTACAAAGGTCAATGAATAAATAAGAAAAAAAATCATAAATAGCAAAGTTAGGAATAAAATTCAAAATAAATAAACTATTTCTAACACTAATTGTTACAAATCTCCATGTAGATGCCACAAATGCTCAACTAGGTCTGCTTGGAGTTTAGAATGAGTTTGTCTATCTCTTATGCGATGATGATTTTGAATGAAGTCATAAAGTTCGGGTGTACGCTCGTGTGACACTGCTGGAGGGAGAGTTTCATCGATTGCATCATAATTAGAGTCTATATTTTGTTCATTTCGCTCATCCTCAACAATCATGTTATGCAATATTATACATGCCTTCATAATAACTTTAAGGGTTTCAACTTTCCAAAAACGTGCAGGTCCTCGCACAATTGAGAAACGTGCTTGGAGCACTCCAAATGCTCGTTCGACATCCTTCCTTGCTGACTCTTGAGCCTTAGCAAAATGTATTTGCTTATTGCCTCGTGGAGATGGAATTGTTTTAACGAATGTTGACCATTGAGGATATATACCATCAGCGAGATAATATCCCATTGTATAGTCATTTCCATTGATTGAGTAATCAACTTGGGGAGCACGCCCTTCAGTAAGGAGAGAAAATACAGAAGAACGTTCTAACACATTGATGTCGTTATGAGATCCCGGTAATCCAAAAAATGCATGCCATATCCATAGATCATAGGAAGCCACCGCTTCTAAAATAATAGTTGGTTCATGGATATGACCACAATACATACCTTTCCATGTAGTAGGACAATTCTTCTACTTCCAATGCATACAATCAATGCTCCCCAACATTCCAGGAAACCCACGATTTTTTCCCACCTCTAGTAATTTAGCAATGTCATCTTTGTTTGGTGCCCTCAAGTACACATCTGAAAAAATTGCAACCACTGCCTGAACAAACCTTTGTAGACTTTCTATTGCAGTGCTTTCTCCAATCCTCACATAATCATCTACAGAATCGGCCGCTACTCCATAAGCGAGCATCCTCATAGCCGCTGTCATCTTTTGAAGGGAAGACAGACCAAGAACTCCAATAGCATCTTTCTTCTGGACAAAATAAGGATCATATGCTTCCACCATAGATAAAATACGAAGAAAGAGATATCGACTCATCCGAAACCTCCTCCTAAATAAATTGGGCGGATATATAGGCGTTTCAGAGAAGTAATCTTGATAAAGTCTCTTGTGGCCTTGAATTCGATTACGATAAATAACTGTATGACCTTGAATAGAACCACGACGTAATCCCAATTGCCTCTCATTATTTAGCCGCTCTTCTTCTAAAGCAGCTATTGCAAATATCTCCAATTCATTATCAGAATCAGAGTCATCAATAATCATCTTCATTACACTATTGCGAGCCATGGAAATTAAAAGAAGAATGAAGCTGAGTAATAAGCAACTGAAAATAAATATTAGGTTGTGTTTTGCTTCTTAAGCTTTGCAAGTTTCTGCCTAACAACTTCAATTTTCTGCAAAGTCAAATTTATAAAACATATCAAACAACTTCCAAAATCAAAACACCAGCAACTTACATAATCTGTATTTAATTGATCAACAAATAGAAATGTCCTGTAAATAAAAATCACTCCAATCCAACATACAATAAGAATTATATTTAGCCATGGAGTACTTCAGCAAGCATTCAACGAGAATTCCACTCAGTAATTAAATTACTAATAGTTCAACCATTCAACAGTAGGTAGTTCCAAAAAACTTTTAACATATAATAAATAATTGAATGTAAACTGCATAAAAAACATAGTTCTGCCTACAATGGAGAATCAAATCCAACAATAAATAAAGTGAAAAACATAGTTCCAACAACTAAATTTTTTTTGGGTAGTTCCAACAACTAAATCTTTTTTTGGAGAATTTCCATTTGGCGGCGATGAATGTATTCTGCTTGCAATGAAGGCAGACCACTTGTATCTATTGACATTATTCGCTCTTCCTCCTTCAATTGTTCCATTCGTATCTTTTCTTTCTCATTATCAACCTTTTCTTGTTCCGTTTGCGTCCTCTTTTTCTCATTATCAATCTTTTCTTGCTCTTGAAGATACGACCTTTCATACATCTCTATTTTCTTGTCATTCATTTTCTTTCTATCTTCCTTTAAATCCTCTAATAATATTAAAATAGGTGACCCTCCTTCATTTCCACGGTCTTTATTCTTTCTTTTATTCAAACGTTCCTTTTCAGCTTTCCTACCCGGTGGTCTTTCCAAGTCTACATTGTCATTATGTGAAACATCATTGTCCTCTAAATTGATTGAATCCGGTGCACTAGGAGAACAAACGCCGGGAGTTGCCACTTTTTTTGGTTTTTGTTTCTTCATGCTATATTCTTCTCGCCATTTTTGTTGATCTCTTAACTCATGCCTACAATGTTCAAATGGAAATGACGATTTGTACAACTCTTTGTATAATTTCTTCGCATCAAGAATCTGAATAATAGATAAAAGAACACTAATTATCATGAGATTAGACAATTCCAATGATAATAAGTATAAAAAACTCAATGGCATTAATACCTTATCTTTGTCAGTCTTTCCACTTTGATTCAACCTTTGGATTTGGGCGAAGCACCCACTGAACTTATTTGTGGCAAGTTGAATTGCTGACCAACGATTCATTAAAGAAGTTTGACTACGATTAGATGAAAAAGTTTTGTACTGGTGGAAATACTCCCACACTCTTAGCCAATAAGCCTTTGATTTTTGTTCATTCCCTTGCACTGGATCTAAGCTAATGTTAAGCCACGCCGATATGAGCATACTGCCTTCTTCTGTAGTGAAGTTGCCACCTCGTTGTGGTTTCTTGGTGGTTTCTATTTTAGGAGAGATTGGGGAAGACTGATCCCCTTGGTCAAGAGGTTCATCCATAAATTCATAATCAGTCCCATCATTCATCAAGTTGGTGAAATATGCATCATTTTGTTGCTGACTCATCTATAGACAAGGTAAAGAAAATTATGGCAACATATATTGGGAATATTATTTGAGTTAAGAAGTTTAAGATTCATTTTGTTTCTTGTGCTTGGCATTTCTTTTATTTAATTCTATTTTGGTTACTTTTTTCTTGTCAGACATTCGGCGTAAGAATGAAGGCAATACGAATTTGATATCTAAGATTGGCTATCCCTATAAGAGACTGTCCCTTAGAATCGAAGACTAATAAAGCAGAAGCAAAGAAAACAAAGACAATTTAGTAGTATGAAAGTATGAAACAAGGGAGATGAATGAGTTCAAACTGCTATATTGATATTATTAAAGAATTGCAAGAAGTGCATAAGAAAACTCTCTATACATAACAATATACAAATATTAGTTGGAGTAGTTATGTTCTAAACATATACAAAAAGAAAGGGTCAACTGTCGAGTACCTGACAATCACTCATCACCAATAAACAATGTAATTATGTCAATTTTGAATAAGATTCTAACCATAACTAGGCATGCTGAATGCAAAATCAGGAAAAAGTATAAGCTAAAGCTGAATAAGATAGCTATTAAAGAATTATATCCTAATATAGAACTTAACACTGCATCTTTTAATCCAAATTTAGTAGATTCCAAAAACTCTCAAAGTTATCACACTTCATATAAGAATAATTTATTTGACTAAGAAACAATTATTTGGAAAATGATGTGTGGATATCATTTGTCATTTTTTACTAGGTACATTGAGTTGGATAAAGGATCATATTTAGCTTATGAAATGAGAATTAATGGGTAAGGAATAACAATTTTTTAAAACTAATATACACTCCATGCTTATTCCCACATTTTTGGGGATCTTCAATGTAGATCAGTTCAACATGTGAAGTTTTTAAAGAACATGTGGAGTTTTTAAAGAACTATCCATGTCTCTTCCCCACTTTCATTCGCATTCCCAAACTCTTTTTCCACTTTATATTCATAATTTGAGCTAGTCATAAGTGGGAGTAAATTAATGTCCAAGTTAAAAAGACATCTGCCCTAAGATAATTGGAGCACCTTTTTAGGAGAGGTCAAGGATTCAAGTCAATTAAAAAAAATAACAAATATATAATGTTTTGACTTGTGGGGTTGGACTTGTATGCTCTGGTTTTTTTTTTTTGTTCTTTTGGGTGCAAACTCTATTTTGAGGTGGTTGTGTTTCTTGATAGTTTGGTCTCATGGGGGTTTCAATTCAAATTAATAGGGTAAGCCCAAGAAAATGATTTCTTGTTTATGAGGCACTTAAAAAAGCATATAGTGAAATTAATTAAGGAAGAATTAATATTGTGAATTATTACTAATTTCATGCTTACAATGAAATTGTTCTAACCAATCAAGTGCTTTTGATTCCTTTGTAAAGCAACCAAAAGAAAGCCCAGACAATAATTCAACCAACCCAAGGACCTAGAAGGTAAAGATGCTTTGGTATTTCGTTGTGGATCCTACACCCTCTCAAATTCACAAGACCTAAAAAATAGAAAGCATGCTTTCACAATACACATAATCAAACATATCACATGCAAGCATCAAAAACAAAAGACAAGCCACCCTCACCATCCTAATCCCATAGAAAAAAAGTAGAAGACCAAAGATGCAGCAATAATTTAGTATTATCAAAACCCAACCCCTCAGTTTGGGGTAGGAGATTAAAAAAAAAAAAAAAAAACAATATTCCTTCCAAGCCACCTTCTAACAAACCAATGACTTCAAAATAGAACACTTTTAACTCACTTCATATAAATAAGTATTGACACAAACTCCAAATCAACAAGATACAAAAGTCAAATAATCCACAAATATTTAACTTCCTGCAAAAACTCAAAACAACAGTTTCTTCATGATTCATGAATAATCGGCTCGCGTAATTCAATCCACACACAATTTATCTTGTAATTTCACCTTTTGTTAATTTCCTTGGAATATATTCGTCTGCAATGCACAATTCAATTTTTCTCTTGGTTTTCTACCTTCAGACTGTAAAGTATCTGAATGCCCCTCACTGTGATCTACATGGCACATGGGGGTTGTTGGCTGGCACGTTCTTTGAGATTTTTGCAGCCCTATGCTTTATTATATATACTTAGTTTGGTCTATGTGATGGAGCAGTTTAGAAGTTAAAGCTTGTTTGAAAGTTAATTAGTGGGATTGTGGGTGTGTTGGGGGAAGCTCATCCTACCTGATTGAATGAAGAAGGCTAAAAGAGCACTTGCATTGATAATATTTCAGTCCTGTCGTCTTCAAAAGAGACAAGATACAGCTTGAACTGAGATTTAATCACCATAGCTAGTTGCTTGTAATGTATCATACATATAAGTATTATGTGCATATAAATGTGTTTGTTCATGTGCCCGTCATGTTCGAAAGATGCATGATACAGCTTAAAGTGAGACTTAATCACCACTAGTTGCTTGAATTTGATAATGTGTCATACGTATGGGTATTATGTGCATCTAAATATGTGTTGTTCCTGTGGTTGTGAGTTCTCTAATGGTTTTAATTACTTACTAGTCCAGATTCTTGTTCTGCATTTGAATAGCATTCTCATGATCTTTGGTGGTTTTAAATCATGATTACTTAACACTCAATATGCTTGCTAGATGGTAAAAAACTTGGTATTCTATCAGTAAAAATAAGTACAGGATTCAAGCCAACAGGTGGGATTCTAAAGTGATTAACTAGAGAAATTCATGTGCTCCTTGGAAATGCATTTCTAAATTGTTGGATTTATTCTATGATTTAATTTGTTTCATGAGGATAAAATTCTTAGAATATGTAGAATTAAGGTCCATCTTGCAAAATCATTCGCAACACAAAAACACAAAACACAAAAACAGAATAGTAAAGTATCAATGTATGCTTGAACTCACAGATCAGACCCTCAAGTACACATATAAATTGTTTACAGATTGTAAAACCAAGAAAATGGGAGAGACCCAGATTACAGAGGAGAAGGAAAGTTTGTGCTATCTATATATATATAGAGAGAGGGTTTATGAGTTGCATAGAAGGGGAAGACAGAGAGATAGAAAGATCCATACCTTGAGGAAGAGGTCGATGGAGGGAGTTGCAGACAACGTTGAAGGAGAAGATCGATTTCACTGAAAGAACAGATCGATTTCGCGGGAGAGACGTGTTTGGAGATCAATTTCGCGCTGAAGAAGTAGATCGATTTCGCGGGAGAGACGTGAGCAGATCAATTTCGCGGGAGAGACGAGTTTGGAGAGCATTCAATCACTCTCCAATTGAAGCCAGCGGAAAAGCCGCAAGGGAAAATAGGAAGCCGTTTAGCCAGCCCGTTGGAGTGAGAATATTAGGCTGATATGAGCTAAAATAGCTAACAGTACCAATATACCTATTCCCTTGGAGTTGCTCTAAGCGAGGGGATTAACTATTCCCTTGGACTAGTAATCTCGGGTTTGGAGTGGCTGCTATGTATGGTGCGGAGCACCCACTGTTATGCAGCTAATGGGGCTTTTTTTGGGTCTCATTTTAACAATTCGAATCGCTCAATTTTTAGAAGATATCGAGTAGAATATACCTAAAAAAATTCAAGTTAATCGAATATTGATATTCCTTTCATCAAGGCATATTTATATGTAAAAAATTGAATGGTAAATTTAATTTTCAGTATAAGTCTGAATACAAACATGACTTAATGAAAGAGATACCGATATCCAATTAACTTAAATTTTTACAAACACGTTTTATGCGATGTCTTTTAAAAAATGAACAACTCAAATTGTCAGAATAAAGCCTGAAAAAGGTTCCATTGGACGTGCAACAGTGGTTGCTATGCACCATATGCAGCAGCCTCCCCAAGTTGAGTAATCCCCTTATTGGTAGCTTTATCAATCCCATGGTAGGATTGGAACTAGAAATTGAGCGAGGGGATAAGTGAATTTTTAAATAATTTTTAAGTAAAATTTATATATTTTTAGAAAAAACATAATTATAATATTAAAAAAATTAAAAATTAAAAAATATTAATTTTATATATTAATACTATCTATAGCATTACTAATCAAGTGGTGTATAAATAAATACTATTTATCCGATATATCCAACCTAATACCACCACATTAATAATTTATTCACTCAATCTTACCGTACTCTTAATCCCCTTCATCCTATAAAGCCAAATAATGTGATCATATGGTGCTAATCAAATCATGTAATCTATTTTATAAAATATTAAATATTAGTATTACTATTTATTTATTTATTTATTTTTATAATAATGAGAATCTATAGTGTTTTTAGATGGTAATGAGAATCTATAATAATGTGATTTGTATTATGTAAGATGTGACGCTAAATAATATTTAAATATAATTATTTTTAGCATCAAAATAAATTTTATAATTTCTCTTTTAGGGCGCTTGGGTTTATAAATTTTAAATTTTTGCGAAATGACCAAAATACAGATTTCTATGGTTACACGGATTTGTTGAAATTGACGTATGGGAACTTATCTGTGCAATTCTTTTCTACCCATCTCTCTCTCTCTTCTATCTTTCTCTCACTCACCTTCAACTCTTCAGATCTACTTTATCTCTCTACTTCTACTTCTCTCTATTTTCAAACCCTCAAGCTCTTTTTTTTCTCTCTCTTTCGCAATAGTTGTATCACATAGCAGAGCTTTGCTGATTGCGAAGTCGAGGTCTTATCTTTGGCCAACATTATTAGGTCAAGGACGCTATCATTGCCGGTATAAACTGCGTTCTTGAATGGTGTAAAAGTGAGTCTGCATTCCAATTCACATAGATAAAGACGGTTCAAAATCATAAATACATACAAAGTCATACATCTATAGAGAGAGAAGAAGAGAAAAAAGAAGTTATGTACAACAATAGCATGGGAGGTGTTTGAAAATGGTGCAAATTTCTTTGGACCTGGTTTTACCCCACTTGGTGGCTCACTCGGTCTTGGTGATGAACATTCGATTTTGAATAAACAAATTAGGGTTTTGGCAAGTTTTCTGAATTTGTTTCGTTGGTGCTCTACTCAGGCTCGACATTGAAGATAGCTAACGATGTCAATGTTGATTACTACTTCAGATTTATGCTTGAACACTGGCACCCAAACCTCTTCCCAAAATATGCAATCTATTGTAGTTGGGTCAACATTTATAGCCCTAAAAAATGACCTTAAAATAAGTTGGTGACTCGGCCCTAAACTATGTCACCGACGGTGGTTGGTGTCTCGGATGGGCACAGCCAAGGAACTCTTTGGCAGTGTATAGTGTAGAAAACCCTAGCCAAATCTCTATCTCTCTCTCTTTCTCTCTCTATGTGTGTGTGTGTGTGTGTGTGTGGATGAAGTAGAATACCCTAGCCAAAAAATTAAGTGTGTTCTTCATTTTGACAGATAAGAAAACTTTAGATATGTTTTTCATTTTGAAGCTAAAAATTAGGTGTGTTTGTTGAGAGAAAAAAAGTGAGAGACAGATAGAGACAGGCAGAGATTTCAATAGGTAGTGGATTTGTAGAGAGAGAGAGAGAGAGATTTGAAAAGATAGTGGGTTTGTAGAGAGAGAGAAAGAATTTGAACATATAGAATAAAAAATTAAACATATTGAAAAATAGAGTTTGTTGAATTTCAACAGATATGAAAAATAAACTTGGTGAATTTCAATAGATAAATTAAAAATATTAACATAATTTTGATAGATAGATACAAATTTGAACAGATAAAAAACAATTTGACAAATAAATACAGATTTGAACAGATAGGTTAAAAAAAAATTGAACAGATAAAAAAGATATAAACAGATAGGTTAAAAAGTAAAATTGAAAACAAAATGTCCTCTAAAACTACAAAACGTACTTCTCATCAGACTATTTCACAAAGCGTGGACTTCTCACCAACAAAAAATATATATTGGACCTAACGCCTTATACAATTGCCAGATTGGATTTATCAATAATTTTCTCTTTTATAATTATTTTTTTAATATCTTTTTAAATATTTTTTTCTTTTTTAGTGAGAGTGGTCTTTTTTTTTTTGCTTTTCACTTTTATATTCTATTAGAGATAATTCTTATTCTCCACATACAAATTTCTATCAATTCATAAACTTAATGAAAATCTTCTTTAATACAATTTTATTTTAGAATAAAAATACCATAATACATTTATTTTCTTATACTAAAATCCTAATTTTAAAACACAACAACTTTTATTCATCTCTAGTGTCATCCTTTTTCCGCTATCCCCTCATGTCACCTCTTTGTTCCTCTCTCCACAAACATATTCCACCATGAACTATGCATTTCTACACTATTGGCTATATTTTTCCTACACAAGAAAATATCATAAATGCGAGCGTGCCAGCAAAAAATGAAAAATCCTTATAGATTAAGCCAATTATCAAGCAATTGTGTTGACGGTTCTTTTGCTTCAATGAAGAGGACTTTAAGACTGCCAAGTTTAAAGAAACGAAAAATTAAAAGAAAAGATGGAGATGAAGAAAAATGATTGAGTGAACAATCGGGGCGATTGATTGAACAATCAAAGTAACCATTAATTTAGTTCTACTTCTATGTTTCGAAAAGGAAGTGCAGAAAATAAATCTTTGTTAAACTACTCCTACGATAGGAGAAATAGCAAGAAAAATAGAAATCAATTGTCTTTGATTTGAGTTGGATGATCCTTACAATGTAGTCATGAATGGCTATTTATAGGGAAAAAAACTACCTAATAAGTATCGTATTTCCCTATCTTCATCCTTGTCTTGCCATGTGTCTCTTTAACTTCTCCACTTTACTACATGTTCTTCCACATTATACTCCATGTTCTTCCATTTCCTCTACTTTAGGCTCCATAATCCTCTACATTCTCCATCATCTTTTGACATGTGTTTAATGCTTTATAACTTCTCATAACCTCCAAGTGAGTAAGAGAGTGCCATGTGTCTTAATTTATAAATAATAAAAAATTATTATTATTATTTATTTATGCTGCCAACACACACAAGTCGCCCACCACAAATCACCCACTTTCAAGGTTGACTATGGAGGTCTAGAATGGAAGGAGATGAGTTGAGAGTGGTGGTGGTGGTAATGATGAAGGGCTGAAAGTAACAATAACGATGGCGAAGAAGGAGTGGGTGGCTCGAAAGAAAATTAGGTTTTTGAAATTGAAAATGAAAGTATTATTAGAATATTGAAAAATCCTTATAGATTAAGCCAATTATCAAGCAATTGTGTTGACGGTTCTTTTACTTCAATGAAGAGGACTTTAAGGCTGCCAAGTTTAGAGAAACGAAAAATTAAAAGAAAAGATGGAGATGAAGAAAAATGATTGAGTGAACAATCAGGGTGATTGATTGAACAATCAAAGTAACCATTAATTTAGCTCTACTTCTATGTTTTGAAAAGGAAGTGCAGAAAATAAATCTTTGTTAAACTACTCCTACGATAGGAGAAATGACAAGAAAAATAGAAATCAATTGTCTTTGATTTGAGTTGGATGATCCTTACAATGTAGTCATGAATGGCTATTTATAGGGAAAAAAACTACCTAATAAGTATCGTATTTCCCTATCTTCATCCTTGTCTTGCCATGTGTCTCTTTAACTTCTCCACTTTACTACATGTTCTTCCACATTATACTCCATGTTCTTCCATTTCCTCTACTTTAGGCTCCATAATCCTCTACATTCTCCATCATCTTTTGACATGTGTTTAATGCTTTATAACTTCTCATAACCTCCAAGTGAGTAAGAGAGTGCCATGTGTCTTAATTTATAAATAATAAAAAATTATTATTGTTATTTATTTATGCTGCCAACACATACAAGTCGCCCACCACAAATCACCCACTTTCAAGGTTGACTATGGAGGTCTAGAATGGAAGGAGATGAGTTGAGAGTGGTGGTGGTGGTAATGATGAAGGGCTGAAAGTAACAATAACGATGGCGAAGAAGGAGTGGGTGGCTCGAAAGAAAATTAGGTTTTTGAAATTGAAAATGAAAGTATTATTAGAATAAAAAGATGTGTACTGAGATTTATTTTATTTTTTTTTACTTAATTTGACTAATGAAATGACCTTGGATAAAGTCGAGTAGAGAAGAAGGATTTATGCAACCGACCCCATTTGATGGGACTTAAGACTTGATTTAGTTTGGTTTGGTTTGTGTATTGAGAAGGTTTACGTGTGTGCACTGCTAAAAATTGG